TACATATAATTAACTCTGTGTTACATAGAGTCAGCCTACAGTGTGAGGTAGATGTGAGAGAGAGAGAGAGAAACCAGAGAAAAAAAAACCAAAGGGATATACACAGTAAAAAATAACAATAGTTAACTGTCGCCCAACAATCAGTTCAAGAGTTCTTGAGGACATTAGTTCTGAAGGTGACTATTTTGCTTCTATAGCTTTCATCTTAGCTGTGCTATTAATTCTCCTGAATCAGGGAGAACATATGGTGTTTGTCTCTTTGGTACTGGGTTATTTCACTGAGTATGAGGTTTTCCAGCTTGCTCCATTTTATTTCAAAGGACCATCCTTTTTTACTGCCATGTAGTATTCCATAGTGTACATGTCCCACAGTTTCTTTATCCAGTCTTTGGTTGATAGACATTTAGGTTGCTTCCATGTCTTAACTATTGTGAATTAAGCTGAGACAAACATGGAGGTGCACATAGTTTCTGTAATCCTCCAGTTCTGCCACAAAGCTCACTAAACATTTACTTGTTCAACAAATGAGTAACTCTGATGATTTCCCTTATCTCTCAAACCTTTCCTCCATTTTTGCTCATGTTCTTCTCAAGCTCACAGGAACTTCTAGAGAGGCTACCCAGAGTTAAGGAATTTGCTTAGTTCCTTTCTTTGTAAACACGGAACCAATGTTTGAGCAACCAAAATACAGGTCTGAGGCCAAAATCTGTTCATTGCAGATATACTTATTATGTCTCAATGAAATCACAACTTTTCATTATTTTTTAACTGTTTCTACTATCTTTGGTTATCTACTTCTCACAACAAATTAGAACAAGCCACTTAGAATCACCCTATATCAAACTGTTATTGTTTCTTAGCGGAATTCTAAAATATTGTATCAAAAAATGAGTACACATCTAAAAGGTGCCTTTAAAAATTTTCTGAAACTCCAAGCCATTACTGAAAATCGACAAGTTGTTTTAATGTAAATAGAAGGCTTTAGTTTTTTACCCCAGACTAACCTAAAATATTAGTTTATAATTATAGCAATAGCAACAAAGTTATATTTATATAAATAGCAACAAAAAAGCTAAAGCTCCCCCCCATAAAACTTTCTGGAAAATATACATCTGAAAGTGTAATTCATTACATTCCCTTGGAATCGAAGGAAAGCAATGAATACAGTTAAGAACTTCTACAAATACAGCATTGGCTCCATGTGTAAAATGCCAAAAAGAGCTAGAGGAGGAGTATTTCAGTGAAGCTATGGAAAGTATCACTGCACAACTTCAATAAACCCAGATACTTTAAAAAAAAAAAAAAAACTTTAGGTTTCAATAATTCTGGAATTGACTATTATAAACTGAGTTACCATGGCTCCGACACTTATTACCACACAGAACCGAAGTCAATTAGGCAGTTTATGTAGTTTGGTCTGAAATTAAAGACAACTGCATTTTAAACTTTGTCATTCAACTTATTAGTATAAACCCTAGCAACAGGAAAATATTCAAGAATTTCCTTCTATTAGCAGTATTAGCACACAGGGTGTTGCCAGTTACTTCTGAGCACACTGAAAGTTTCTCACACAGAACTGGTATCTCCTGTACCTTTACAAATTCATCACACAGCATTCATCTACATTTGATGAATTATTTTGAAATTACTTTGTGCCACAATTCCGAAAGGACTGGCAACTCTCTTGGTTTCTTAAACAAACTGAAAATGCAGAAAAATTTACAAGATTAAATGAGACAGGTAAAACTTAACATCATCTTCCCTCAAAGGTACCTATTGATCGAATGATTCTGTTTATTGACCTCCAACTAAATACCATTTAATCCTCAGGTATTTATATCTATTATGGAGGACGAAACAGAGTAATGTGCGCAAGGTCATACCAAATAAGTGCCAAAGCCACAGACGGAACTCATGTCTACTTAACACCAAGGCCCCGATCTCCAACCAAAATAAAAATCAAATATTTTTTAAAATAAAGATAAGCAGCAAGCTGCTGGTTTCAACTTGACATTACGACAGTCTTAACGGTGTATGGGGGCGTGACAACTCTGGAACACACGCAGCAGAGTTAAACTCGGGGCATTTTTCATTTCTTGGGATAAAGCTGAATTGATTCCAACAGAGCGCGTCTTTTTGCAGCCACAAGTAGAGAAGATGGCATGAGATTGGGTCACGTGGACTGGAGCTCTTAAGACTTTACAGAAGAAATTCAGAGTTCGTATTTTATGTTCGTTTCTTTCCCCTAAATTGCAAGTATTGGGGGGGGGGGTGTCCAGGGTTCCAACCCCTACCATTCCAAGGCTTCCAAAAGAGGGACCCGCGCAATCTGGAGTTGAGTCCGAGCCCGGATTCGCAGGGCTCCGAGGCACACACCTCGCCACCAGAGTTCTCGGAGTGTAATCTGCGTGTGCGTGTGTGCTGGGGGCCAGGAGGACGGCAGAAAACCATTCGAGACGTATGCAAACAAAAGGGTTAACCTTTCCAGAGAAGGGGGCAATGAACTCATTTTCACCACTCACTCGGCCACAGACGGAACCTGATCCTTCTTTTTAAGGCCCATCAGCTCGGGTTACCAACTCCTAGCCCTCCGCGCCTAACCAGCTCCACGTCTCCGTCGCCCTCCCCCACCTGGGCACCCGCAGCCGCGGCCCGGGCTCCACCGCCGGGGCTGCCCGACCTCCCCTCCCCCTCAGCCCCAGCGCCACGAGCTCCGCGGCCGAGGCCTGCGGGCCCCGCGGGCGTGTGCTCCACGCCATCTGCCACCAGGCCTCCGGCGTCCGGCCACCGCTCCCCGAAGCTCCCTGCTACAAAGCCCCCGGCCAACTCTTGTAGGGCCGGGTCCGCCGCACACGCCGCTGGGGCCTCCGCGCCCTCGGGTGCTCGGCCCCGCGCGCAGCCGCCGGCGCCCCCGCGCTCCCCGCCGCGCGTACCGTCTCCTCGGGGTCGATGTCGATCTTGAAGGTCTGCTGCTGAAGGGTCTTCAGGGTGACCTGCATGGTGCCGCCGCGCAGCTCCGCTGCCGGGCCTCCGCCGGGTGCTGGCCGCTGGGCGGGGTCTGTGGCCTGGCCCGGCCCTGGGGTCGCCCGCGCTCCTCGCGCTCTCTGGAGGAAGGCGGTGGGGGTGGGGGCTTGTCACATTCGCCCTGCGGAGCGGCCTCTCCCCCAGTCCGAGGCCCGGGCCGCGCCGCTGCCTCCGCGACTCCGGCCTTTCCCGCGAGCTCCGGCCGCCGTGCTTCCTCACGCGCCCGCCGCCAGCCCCCGAGTCTGCAGGAAGCGCGAGGGGCTCTGTGAGACCTGCAGAGAATCCGCTAGCTCACCACAGGATGGTGGCCGCCATCATCGTGACTCGCCGAGACGTGCCCCCTCCCCCACCTGAAAAAACCTGGGGGATGGGGCCGGGCGGGCGAAGCGCGCAGGCGCAGGCTGCGACGAAGTAGTGCGCAGGCGCGGTCCAGAGCTCCGCCCCGGAACTGGGGGCGTGGCGGCTTGCGGCTCTGGAATGTTGGCCGCCTGGATCGGGGTGCGCAGGCGCACGCCGTGGGCGTCCGGTGAGCTTGGGGCGTGCTCGCAGGGTTTACAGCCGGGGCGTTCTTCCAACCGGCTGTCGCTCCGCCCAGGTCCAGACCCCACCCAGCTGCCCGAATTGCGCAATCCGTAGCTGGGGAAGCGCTACGTGGAAACCTGTCTGAGTAGATGCTGAGCCTAGAAAAGGAGAGGTAGAAGGCGGAGTGAAAAGTGGAGGGATCGCGGGAGCCGCAGTCCTGGGCCAACACTTGCGGGGCGCTTGCTGCCGGGGTGAGCCTGTGTGTGTAATCGGCTGATGCTTAATCCTGAGGGCGCGGACTCCAGAGCGCGACCGCCTGGGCTCACACCGTGCCTTTTTCTCCCTGGCTTTGAGACTTGAATCTCCACAGGCCAATTTGAAACGCAGGTGGTTGTCTCTCCAGTGAGCAGACGTGTTGACGAGTTCCCTCCTGGCCCTCTCCGAGTAAAAGTCCAAGTCCTTAGAACTGAGTGCGTCGGCCCGTCCTGCACCGCCACAGGGCTGTCTGTGCCCTTGCCATCACTTCCCCTCCTGCAGCTCTTCGCTCAGACTCGGTGAGGTCCATCCTGGCTACCCTACTGGAAATCACAACTGTCCTAGCTCCTCTATCCTGATCGTTTTTCCCATAGCGTGTATCACCTAATCTTACCATCTAATGTACATGTTTACTGTGTGTATCATCCTTCTCCCTTTCCATTAAGCCCCTGACTGAAGCTACACAAAGGTGTGGATTTTGTTTTGTTCCCCGGTGTATCCCCGGCACCTAAGAAACGCGCCTGGCACACTGCAGGCATACAGTGAATATTCGTAAAATGGGTACCTGTGTTTCCAGCTCCTCAGCACTAACGTGGGGTACTAACAGCACCCAACTCGTTGGTTATTGGAGGGGAGTTCAATAAAGTATGCAAAATCTTAATGTAAGGAGCCTAATCAACAGTCCATAAGCGGTTAGCCATTGATTACATGTCCATTTACAGGGGCAAAAGCTGAAGTACAAGGCTGTTGAGCCGCGTGCCTGTAGTCGGCCACCTGTGAAGTGGCAAACCAGACTCGACTCTGAACTGGGCCAGAATGACTCCAGGAATAGGGCTCCCTGGAGCACGTTTGACTTAAAGCGATTCGAGGATGAAGCCCAGTTACCGTTGGACCACTAGCTGTGTGAGCAAATGTACATTAATCTCTCTGAGCCAGCATCCTCAATGATACAAGTCACTGCTGGCTTGTCGGTGGGTTCTCAGATACAGTTTGTTTTTTTTTTTTTTTTTTAACAGGCAGAGTGGACAATGAGAGAGAGAGAGACAGAGAGAAAGGTCTTCCTTTGCCGTTGGTTCACCCTCCAATGGCCGCCATGGCTGGCACGCTGCAGCTGGCGCACCGCGCTGATCCGATGGCAGGAGCCAGGTACTTCTCCTGGTCTCCCATGGGGTGCAGGGCCCAAGCACTTGGGCCATCCTCCACTGCACTCCTGGGCCATAGCAGAGAGCTGGCCTGGAAGAGGGGCAACCAGGACAGAATCCAGCGCCCCAACCGGGACTAGAACCTGGTGTGCCGGCGCCGCAAGGTAGAGGATTAGCCTAGTGAGCCACGGCGCAGGCCTTCAGATACAGTTCTTTGGTCAGACTTCCTTAACCCACCTCCCTCTCCACCCACTTTGGTATTTACCCTTTCACAGTCCTATCTGAGCACTGTAATTAAATACCCAATCCTCTGCCCTCTATCTTCCTGTGCAGCTACACTTAGTCACCAGTTGATCATATCCTGGGCCTCTCCCCTTGGCTGTAGACAAATTTGCCTGATTGTTGAAGCAATATCTTCACTTAAGTGCAAGTCTTTGAGACAGCAGGGCTGAACAGAAGCCCTGATTCGCATCTGGACCACCCATCCCTCTGCAGACTGCTCCTCTGGTGTTGCCGTTTACCCAGAGGCTCAGGCTAAAAATTTTTTTGCATCCCTGATAAAAATTTTTCCTCCCTCCTTGCCCACACCACTGCTGGAACCACTATATAAATTCATTAGCAGGTCTGTCAGCTTTATTCTGCAAGCTATATGCCAAGGTGAGCCACTTCCCACCATTTCTACTTCTACAACCCTAGGTTAATCCATCGTTAGCCTCACCTGCCTGCCAAATGATCTCCCCACTTCTGCCGTTTTTTCCCCAACTGCCTTGCCAGCAGCCTCAGTAGTCGCTTTAAACCACAAATCAGATCAGGCCTCCTCTGTGCTTAATACCGAATTACACGTTAGAAGAAAATTCAAGCTCGACCTGGCCATGGAGAGCAAACACGATCTGACTCCTGCCAAAGGCTGCCGCCTCTTGTCTCTTCCTTCCATTCATGGTCACTCCTCAAAACAAGCTAAGCTGGGGCTAACCTCAGGGTCTTTGTACTTGAGATTCCTTCAACCTGATCTTTGGGTGGCATTCCCCTTGTCATCTTCAGAGTCTTTTAGGGTTTGGATGTCTGCTTCAAAACTCGTGTTGAAGTTTAATAACCAGTGTCATGGCCTTGAGGGGTGAGGCCTTGAAGAGATGATTAGCTCCTGGGGGCACGGCCCATGAGGTCATGAAGTAATGCTGTTATAGAGGTGAATTCCTAATGCATGCAAATTCAGCTCTCTCTGGCTCTCAGGTGCTCGGTTGTCCTCTGCCTTATTATGACAACTCGTAGGTTCTTGCCAGGTGCTAGCTTCATGCCTTTGGACTTTGTGGCCTCCAGAACCATCAGCCAAATAAACTTCTCCTGTTTATACATTATCCAGTCTCTGTATAGCAGCAGAAAATGGCTGAGACAGGTTCCAAGTCAAACTACTTCAGAGGGGGCTTCCCCAACATATTTAGCAACATATAATAAACATACACTAAGCATTTTCCTGCAGGTAAGGCACTGGCTTCTTGGGGAACTTCCTAGCACCCAAAACAGCGCCTTGTCCATACGAGGTGCCCAGTAGTGTGTGTTGACTGACTCCCAACGCAGTTGTAACCTCTGTACGTTCAAGGGTTGTGTCATTCTTGTTCATTATGAGTCTAAGACAATGTGGAAACCCAATATTTGTTGATTTTGAAAGATGGTGGAGTCACTATAATTTTCAACAGTTATAAGAAGATGTGAAAATATTTTAAATCTGGAATATGCTCTATAAAGTTATTTGCTGCTCCAGCTATTGTCTGCAGGCTTTTTCACATATTAGTGCATATAAAATTAGTGTACTCATGGAAAAAACAAACAAACAAAACCAACAAAGCAACATAGAGGGCTGGCACTCTGGCGTAGTGGACTCAGCTGCCACCTATGGCGCCGGTAGAATCCCATATAGGCACCAGTTCTAGTCCCAGCTGCTCCTCTTCCAGTCCAGCTCTCTGCTGTGGCCTGGGAGAACAGTGGAAGATGGCCCAAGGGATTGGGCCCCTGCAGCCATGTGGGAGACCTGGAAGAAGCTCCTGGCTCCTGACTGCAGATCAGCTCAGCTCTGGCCATTGCAGCCATCTGGGGAGTGCACCAGTGGATAGAAGACCTTTCTATCTCTCCCTCTGTAACTCTGTCTCTCAAATAAATGAATAAATTTTAAAACATATATAGAAAGGAAGTAAATGAAAATGAAAACTCCTCTCTCCCATCCTTAGAAATAAGGGATAGAATTGTTTTTAAGTATCTTTAAAACTTTCTAGATACATGCAAGAATACCAGTTTATTTCCCAAATAGTTGTAGCAACAATAGATTTTGTGTCAATTAATTAAAATTGTTACCCAATAAATTTTCTTGAAAGATTCATGTATTTCTTTGAAAGAGCTGCAGAGAGAAGAAGAGACAGAGATCTTACATCTGCTGGTTCACTGCTCAAGTGGCTGCAACAACCAGGGAAGAGCCAGGCCAAAGCCAGGAGCTTCTTCCAGGTTTCCCACAAGGGTGGCAGAGTCCCACCCAGGTCTCCCACAAGGGTGACAGGGTCCCACCCAGGTCTGTCCCCCACAAGGATGGCAATGTCCCACACACTTGGACCATCTTCTACTGCTTTTCCCAGGCCATTAGTAATTAGTAGGGAGCTGGATAAGAAATGGAGCAGCTGGCATACAAACTGGTTTCCATATGGAAAGCCTTACCTGCTATGCCACATCACCAGCCTTCCCAATAAATTCTTAAGGTAGTGTTAAGATAAAAGTGTGTTGCTTACTTTTTAATCTTTAGAAAAACCACGTGCCAGACACCTACTTTTGACTCACCAGCACAGTTTAGACAGATCTGTATGCTTGCTTGTAGGATGGAGTTATCTGAGCCTAGTATCCCACAGTTCACATGCTAGATAGTAAGACCCTCACCCCCACCTCCTGATACAAAGACCACTAAGCTGAGGTGCTTGATCAGCAAGGTCTTGTAAGATGGGCCTTGGATCTCCCTCTGAGAGCTAATAGACCAAGGTAAAATGATGGGAGGGAGTTGTGGGTTCCAAGTGCTTGGTCACGAGCTGAGGTATTTTGGTTGCATTTTTTAGAAATCAGTCAGATGTTTTCCGGAAAGAGGATAAGCAAGAGGAGCTGCAGCAGCTGCTGACTTAGAATATACTGGGGTAAAAATGCCAGTTTTTAAACAAGCCATTCATTCCACAAAAAGTTTTTAAGACACTTCATGCTAGGAACTGTTCTGGGTACTGGGGAAACAGTAGGAAACAAAACAAAGTCCCTCCTCTCATGGAGTTTATACTCAAGTGGGATAATAAACTAAAAATAAAAGAATATTGGGGCTGGTGTTGTGGCGCAGTGGGTTAAGCCACTGCTTGTGATGCTGGCGTTCCATATTGGGGCTGTTTCCAGTCCCAGCTGCTCCGCTTTTGCTTCATGTGCCTGCTGATGCACCTGGGAAGGCAAGGGAAGATGGCCCAAGGATTTCTTTTTTTTTTTTTTTTTTTTTTTTTTGCCAACGGAAGATGTGGTAAACATCCTCTAAAAGCCTCCCAAATATTACCACCTCTTTTTATTTTATTTTATTTTATTTATTTGAAAGGCAGAGTTACAGAGAGGGAGAGAATGCTTCCATTTGCTGGTTCATTCCCCAAATAGACCAGGCTGAAACCAGGAGCCAAGAGCTTCTTCCAGGTCTCCCATATGGGTACAGAGGCCCAAGCACTTGGACCATCTTCTTCTGCTTTCCCAGGCACATTAGCAGGGGCTGGATCAGAAGTGGAACAGCTGGAACTCAAACTGGCATTCATGTGGGATGCTGGCAGTGCAACCCACTATGCCACAACACCTGCCCCCTGACCCAAGGATTTGGGCCCCTGCCATCCATGTGGGAGGCTAGGATAAAGTTCCTGGTTCATGGCTTTGGTTTGGCTCAGACCTGGCTGTTGTAACCATTTCGAGAATGAACCCATAGATGGACTCTGTGTGTGTGTGTGTCCCTTTGCCTTTCAAATAAATCTTTTTTTATAAAAAGGAATATAATATATTAGGTAATGATATGTACTTTTTTTTTTCTTAAAGTGAATGATGAGGAACAGTAGTGCCCTGGAGAAGGAATGTTGCTAGGGCAAGTGCACCAGATAGGTTGAATTCCTACCCCTCTCCGCCTCATTTGTTCTTCCCGCTTCTTTGCTCGGCAGTTTGTCCCAAGAAGGCTGACCTATTTGGGCTAGCTCATTTGGCTTCCTGGGAAGTCTCAGCACAAGGTAGGAAGGAGGGAGAAGCGTGAAGCTGGGAAACTTCTTCCTCTTTGTCATTGGCGGTATACTCGGTGCCAGGTCACTGCTTCCCTGCAGGTGATTGTCTTCTGGGTTCTGGTAATTGCTCCCTGTCTTGCTACTTCAGGCCTAGATGCCTGGAGTCAGGAACCAAATCTGGGGCTCTAAGCCAGGCACTCTGATGTGGGACACGGGCATCCCAACCAGCAGCTTAACTGCTAGGTCAGACACACACCACTTCTTTGCTTCTTTCAACCCCAACATGCCTTGTCAGGGAGACTACTCTTCTCACTCCAGGGCACTCTTCCTGTGGTATCTCTGTACCTTCCCTACATCATTGTAAAGAATCCCTTTCTCGAATCTTCCAGACTATGCCTGGATTAGTTTTCCAGGGCTGCCATAACAGAATGCCACAAAGTGAGTGGCTTCAAACGACCAAAGTGTATCATTTCCCAATTCTGGAGGCTTAACGTCCAAAATCAAGCTGTGAGCAGGGCTGTGCTCCCACTGCAGTTCACCAGGCAGAATTCCTCATCTCTTCCCAGCTTCCCGTGGCTTTATGGCAAGTCTTGGCTTGTAGCTTCAGCCTTTCCATCTCTGTCTCTGTCATCATGACATTCTCCCCTTATGTCTGTGTCCCTGTGTCCAAAAGGACACTGATTCCATTGGAGTAAGAGCTCATCTCTACTTTAGTATGACTTCATCTGTTTATAAATAAGGTCACATTCTGAGGTACCATGGTGTAGGTGCTCCACATGTGTTTTGTCAGAGGGGATACCATTCAACCTATAGAAATACCTGATTGGAATGTGACATCTGTTGTTCTGCTGAGACCCCGATCGGCATACAATTTAATCAAGAAGAGTCTCCCTGATAAGATATTAGAGTCCAAAGAAGCTAAGAAGCAGCAGGTTTTGACTAGTGGGTAAGCTGCTGGTTAAGCATCCATGTTCCACATTGGAGTACCTGGGTTTGAGTCCTGGCTGTGGCTTTCAATTCCAGATTTTTGCTAATTTAGACCCTGGGAAGCAGCAGTGATAACTCAAGAGGTTTATTTCCTGCCATCCTTGTCAGAGACCTGGATTGAGTTCCTAGCTTCCAACTTTGGCCTCCTGGCCATTGTGGGCATTTGGGGAGTGAATCAGCAGGTGGGAACTCTCTATCAGTCTTGCCATCTCTCTCTCTTCCTCTGCTCTCAAGTAAATAAATATAAATTTGAAAAGAAGAAGAAGAAACAAAGAAGGCAGTCATGCAAATGCTAGGGGAAAAATTAGAGGGAGTCAAGTAGAGGGAACAAGGTTAGTGGTCATAAGTGTTCCTCCTCATATAGCACTTATTATATACAGATGCAGAGTCATGCAGTGGAGTGTCCTAGGGACACTGCAGGAATCCCAAGGTCACACTGGGAGAATGCAGAAGGGAGAGAGCAACTGATGGCATTAGGGATGTAAGGAGTTGCAGCATTGGGCAGAAAGCCATTGCATTGACTTTGTTTTTGATACTGAATAACATGGAAAGTCATCAGAGAGTCTAATGAAGAGACTTAGCATGATTTGACTTATATTTTTGAAAGACTTGCTCTGATTGCTGTGTGGACAACTTGCTGTAGAAAGGACAAAGATGCAAAAGGACCAGATGGGTTCCTGTAATAATATAGAAGGGAGCGGTAAATTGTGTCAGGGTGGAACCCATGCAAGTGGTTGGATTCAGGGTTTATTGAAAATCAGGATGATAAGCTTTGCTGCTGGAATTGGTGTAGGATGTGAGAGGAAGAGGATCACAGAGCACAGGCCATGTTAGAGAATTCCCTTACTCAAGAGTGTATACCCTGAGTGACAGTGTTCTACGGGATACCAGTCTACCTGGCACATGTGCTCTGAGTACCTACTCTGTACCAGATTTTGTGTTGGAAGTTAAATCAGGGACAAAGTCTGATGCTAGGTCCTATTCAGAAAAAATAGCAGAGTTTCACTTGAGCCTTTCCATTGCCAAAACAGATTCCCATAGATTTGTTTAATAGAGTTGCTCCCTTGGCATCCATTTTTAGGGCTTGATGAAAGTTATGTGAAAACTAGTTTTACCCACCATCTTTGACATAGTTAAAACTTTCTCTCCCATGTAGGTGTTTGCGTTATAACCCATTTTTTCCTCATCTCACTGGCCTGAAGCCAACACATCCCACAGCTGCTGACCACAACACAGCCTAAGGGTCAACATCAGAGTCATGTAGAAAACTCTTTCCCCCTCTTCCCTTTACCCTCTCCCAACTCCTCCTGTCTTCTGTCTATCCTTCTCTCTCTCTCTCTCTCTCTCTCTCTCTCGCTCCCTCTCGCTCTCTCTCTCTCTTGCTCTTGCACTCCCTCTTTAGTGAGCACTCTGCTGGCTCTACATTTATCACCACCTCTACCCTCCCAGCACCCTCGTCCCTTTTGGATCTATAGGTAATACATTTCTCCTGTTTTGTGAATTTTGGCCTTATTTCTTCCTTGTGTTTCACCTGACATACACCTGAACCTAACTGTCCCCCGGTCAGGGCTCTCTTAGACAGTGGCCATCTTGGCTCATGGCCATTCTCAAGAGAGAGACCTCATGACCAGATGAGAAAGAAAACACAATAAAAATCACAAAGTGTGTCTATCCAGGGAGCTATTACTTCTTTCCCCATTGTTTCTCTGCTGATGAGTGATTTATGACATATATTTTATGTTCATAAAACATCTTTCCACATTCTGGATGTTTGTAGAGTGGTGACATTTTGAGAAGTGCAAAAATATTTCCTTATGGTAATAAAGATTTTCAATTCATTATTGAAAGCATTTTAGAAACGTATCACACTCAAAAATTACTTTTAAAAATGCTAGCCAATAACAATAGAGCTTTTAAAATGTCTTTTGTCTTCTAGTTTACACTTCTGTCTTCCTCAGTCTCTACCCTCTTCCCACACCCTAAGTATCTCAGCTGTATGAATATTTTACTCCTTATTACTCATTACTGTGTCAATGCAGGTGTCCTGAAAGCAGACACAGAAATGGGAGCAGGAGTACAAAATGCTGTTTTAGTAACTATCAACTAGTGAAAAATGAAGAGGAAGCAGAATTTGGCGAGGAGGCCTGCAGACCGTGATGCTGGTATGTTTCCTGTGCAAGGAAGAAGGGAACGAGTGGAATCGGGCAGAGGAAGAACTGAACTGTGATATGCATCTGACGGAATCTCGGCAACCCTGTGGGCAGCTCTGGAGTAAAGATTGCCCATGCAACAGGCACTGTTCGGACAGAGTTGCCCGACTCTGATACCCAGAGCATGCGCAGTTCCTCAGGGCTGTTCTGGAAGCCCTGTCAGCTAACTGCACTGGAGAGTTCACGTGGCACCCTGCAGAGTGAGGGCCTGTTCCTGTAAGTATGGCCTTGGAGAAAGTCTTCAGCTATACCACCTACAAGGTATTCCATCATGCTCTCAGGCTGGCTGCTTTTGGTTGGAGTAGTGCTGTGGTTTTGGTATGGTTTGAATGTACCCCAAAATTAACATGTTGGAGGCTTAGTCTTCAGTGTGTAGGTGAGAAATGATGGGGACCTTTAAGAAGTGCCTAGCAGTCCTTGTGGGTAGTCCTTGGGTCATTGAGAATGTGTCCAATTAGCCATTAAAGGATTAAGTTATTTCTCATGGGCTCCATTGGTATTTATTATGAGAGGGTTGTCATAAAAGCCTTTGTTGTGGGCAACAGGGCTCCAGGCTGGGATTATTCCAGGCTTTTCTCTCCATGCATTCAAGGTGGAGGCATAAAGGTGTTCAGGAAAGCAGGATTTGTAAAAGAAAAAGGAATAGTGCACATTCAAGAAATAAGTGCCTGCAAATTTGAAAGAGAAAGGGAATTGACAAAAAGCACAAAAGAACTCAAACAAAACCTCTCCCTCAATAAGGTTTGGAACATAGTGGGTGGTGTGTGAGGTGAGGCTTAAATGACTATTCAAAGGGGACAGAGTTTGTGGTGAGGCTGAGTATGGCTGAGTATGGACCATTTCTTTGCATTTTTTTATGAAACACTGGGAGTCTCATGGTGTCAGGTTCAAGATGGAAGTGGAGTGTCCTCCTTCTGTATAATGACCCAAAGATCATCACGGGGACACATCCTGCCTCCATATTGTATATTTCCAGCTGGTGCTGTTTTACAGAGACAGAGGTGGGGAGGAACTGGTCAGGGAGGGACTTGGTGGTACATGGAAGGCAGGTTTGGCAGTGCACAGAATGGGAGGTTTGGGTGGTGTGCAGAAAGTTTGGATGGCACAGACTGGGCTGTCACATGGGTTGGACTGGGCTACCACGCTAAGGCTAGTCATGGCTGCTACACCGGCACTGTCCCATAGTGGGAAGGTCAGAGCTGTCAAACCATGGGTCATCTGGGGCTGTCAACCTCAGTTCCTCTCTCTAGCTACCTACCTTCCCACATCAGCCTTAGCCTGGCCATACCCAGCTTAACTGCCTCCTGTCTGTTGATGTAATCACTTGTCCTACCATTGCCTTCCACCGTGATGTGACACAACCAAGAGCACCCTCACCAGAACTGAGCTAATGCAGGTGCTGTGCTCTTTTTCATTAAAAAAAAAAAAAGAGAGATTTATTTGTTTATTTGGGAGGCAGACTTATATACAGACAGAGGGAGGGACAGAGAGAGAGGTTTTCTGGTTTGCTCCCCACATGGCCACAATGGCTGGAGCTGGCCTGATCTGAAGCCAGGAGCCAGGAGCTTCTTCTGGGTCCTTCATGCAGATGCAGGCGGCCAAGGACTTGGGCCATGTTCCACTGATTTCCCCGGCACATTAGAAGGGAACTGGATTGGAAGTAGAGCAGCTGGGACTTGAAACAGCGGCCATATGGGATGCCAGTGCATCAAGTGGAGGCTTAACCTACTATGCCACAGCACCAACCCCAGGTGCCATGCTTTTGAATCTCCGAACCATGAGCTAAATGAATAAGCCTGTTTTCCTTATAAATTTAGCCTGTCATGGGTAATTTGCTAAAGTGATGAAAAGCTGACTTAACACAGCAGGAATGTGATAAGGCCAGTGAATCCCCTGATCATGGGATCACTCCCCAACCTCCTTCACTGTGAAGGATACCCTGGGCTTCTGTCCTCTCTTCCTGAAACATTCTGTAGGTTTCTGCCTCTCCTTCATCTCCTCCCATCGTGGTTCAAATCTTGCCTTCTCAGGGAGCCCTGCCCTGACTCATTGGTCAGCCCCTTTGATACTGTACAACAAAACACCCAGTGCTGTCCAGTTCAGCATTCCCAGTGACTCTTATTCTGCTTTCCCCTTTGAACTTACTATCTTCTAACACACTGCATAACTTATTTATTTATTGTTTAATGATGTCTCCTCCAGTAGAAGCCATAAATCTTGCTTTGTTTTGTACACTCGCATTCTTTAACCCTCAGAAAGATTTCAATTAATAATAAGAGGAAAACTTAGCCACTCATTAAAAAAAGCAAACTAAAACAAGATGATCTTGTTATATGTTTAGGTTAAACAATTAAGACTTCATAACCTCTAATAACCTCAAAAGGGTATGAGCATGTTGTTTTCATGTGAGTTTATATTTGTTACAATAATTTGGGAAGCCATTTAGCCATATAAGTGGTTCTTAACTCCTAAGATTTCAACACTTGTAGATGTCATAGCCTTTTCCATTCTGCATGAATACTGTTAGAACTGCTTTTTTTGGTTTAGTTACATAACTATTATTTGGAAAATTGGTTTGATGGATAACTCAGTGAGCTACTGGGGCAAAGATGTGGCATTCCTTTTTTTGTGTGTTTAAACAGTACTATTTATGCAGTTCAACATTCTGCTTCTTATTTGAACTGACTTTCTCATTAGTTTTGCAAGAGAGAGTAAAGTTGTTAGCAATGAATTGTGAAATAGGTCTTCTATTGACGTTCAAAATCTTTTAATGGCTTCCCCCAATTCAACTTTCATTTGCTTATTCCCATAGGTTTTCTCATTTCCAGCTAAAGCTAATTTTAATACATGACTTATTTCAAGTACACTTGGCTTATCTTTTGAACTAAAAACCATAGTTGGCCATTTGTTGAAAACACATTTAATTGTTACTTATTTTATTTTTATTTACTCACCGAAATTTATTGAGAAGTAGTTGCATGTCAGATGAATCTCTGAATGTCTACTCTGAGAAGCTTAGCAGGAAAAATAAACAAGTGAAACACTGGTGTTATATGCCAGGGTTGAGGAATGTTCTAGAAAGCCAGTGAGGCCTGATCGAGTGGAGTGGAAGGTAGATAGAGGGACTCATCTTTTTAGCCCTCCCTATGTCCATCTTTTTTTTTTTTTTTTTTTTAAGCAGGTAGAGTTATAGACAATGAGAGAGAGAGAGACAGAGAGAAAGGTCTTCTTTCTGTTGGTTCACCCTCCAAATGGCCGCTACTGGTGGCACTGTGCCAATCTGAAGCCAGGAGCCAGGTGCTTCTTCCTGGTCTCCCATGCGAGTGCAGGGCCCAAGCACTCGGGCCATCCTCCACTGCCCTCCTAGGCCACTATGTCCATCTTTTACATTGGTTTGCTATCTATGTTTTGGCATAATGTTCTGAAAGTTGTATTAGAATTAAAATGAATTGGGGTAGGCACCGTGGCATGGTGGGTAAAACTGCCACCTGCAGTGCTGGCATCCCATATGGGCACCAGTTCAGGTCCTGGCTGCTCCACTTCCAATCCAGCTCTCTGCTGATGCACTCAGGAAAGCTATTGGAGATTGCCCAAGTGCTTGGGCCCTTACACTTGCATGGGAGGCCCAGAAGAAGCCCGTGGCTCTTGACTTTAGGCCAGCCCAGCTCTGGCTGTTGTGGCTATCTGGGCAGTGTCCCAGCAGATGGAAGATCGAGCTCTCACTCTCTCTCTTTCTCTCTAACTCTGCCATTCAAATAAATGAATAAATATTAAAAAAAAGAATTAGAGTGAATTTTGAATAAATTCATACAATTCTGTGGTCTTTCTGGGAGAAGCTTTATTACAGCATTCAAAAAAATTTTTAACATTCATTGCAGAGTGCAAGTTCCTTTGTAGTCATTGCCCATTAATATATCTCTTCTTGCATATCCATTGTTGAATGAAATTGGGATTTCATTGTTTGTTTAAAGATTTAATTTATTTGTTTGAAGGGCAGATATACAGAGAGAGAGAGAGAGCTCTTCCTTACATTGATTCACTCCCCAAATGGCTGCAATGGTCAGGGCTGGACCAGACAGAAGCCAGGAGCCAGGAGCTTCTTCCAGGCCTTCCACAAGGGTACAGGGGCCCCCGTACTCGGGCTGACTTCTGCTGCTTTCCTGGGCACATTGGCAGGAAGGTGGATGGGAAATTGAGCAGCCAGGACTTGAACCAGCACCCATATGGGATGTTGGCATTGCAGGTGGTGGCTTAACTGCTATGCCACAGCGCCAGCCCCCATTATATGTATTCTTAAAAAGCTATCATTGGTGGGGCTGGTGCTGTGGCATAGCGGGTAAAGTCGCCGCCTACAGTGCTGGCATCCCATATGAGTGCTGGTTCAAGTTCCAGCTGCTCTACTTCCAATCCAGCTCTCCTCTATGGCCTAGGAAAGCAGTAGAAGATGGCCCAAGTCCTTGGGCCCCTGCACTCATGTGGGAGATGTGGAAGAAGCTACTGGCTCCTGGCTTTGGATCAGCATAGCTCCTGCCATTGTGGCCAATTGGGGAATGAACCAGCAGATGGAAGATCTCTCTCTCTCTGCCTCTCCTTCTCTCTCTGTGTAACTCTGACCTTCAAATAAATAAATAAATAAATCTTTAAAAAAAAAATCTTTAAAAAAAGTCATCGTTGGCACCAGTGCTGTAGCATAGTGGGTAAAGCCTCTAAAGGCAATGTCAGCATCCCATATGGGCACTGGTTTGATTCCCAGCTGCTCTCCTCCTCCTCTTCCTCCTTCCCCTCTTCTTCCTCCCTTTAAAATATTTTATTTGTTTATTTAAGAGGAAGAGTTACAGAGAGGGAGAGATTGAAAGGTCTTCCATCCACTGATTCACTTCCCAAATGGCTGCAGTGGCCAGAGCTGAGCCGTTCCAAAACCAGGCACCAGGAGCCTCCTTTGGGTCTCCCACATGGGTGTAGGGGCCCAAGCACTTGGACCATCTTCTGCTGCTTTCCCAAGCCATAAGCAGAGAGCTGGATTGGAAGAGGAGCAGCCAGGACACGAACAAGAGCCCATATGGGATGCTGGCACCACAGGCAGAGGCTTAGCCTACTATGCCACAGACCTGGCCCCTGCTCCACTTCTGATCCAGCTCCTTGCTAAGGCACCTGGGAAAAGCAGCAGAAGATGGCCCAAGTACTTGGGCCCCTGCACCCACATGTGAGACTCGGAA